GCCCTCAGGCTACCTGATTCTTAATCCTTACTGCTTGTGACAAATTAAACCTACTGTCTGCCTCAGTTCCCTCTTCTGTAAAATGAGGGTTCTCACAGGGTAACATCACATAGGTTTTTAAGAACAAGTTTATGTGTACAGAGTGCTTAGAATAGTGCTGGCACACAGCAAAAGTTTAATGAATACTATTTTTAAATATTTTTTTGGGGGGGGGCCTGGTAGCACATGCCTGTAATCCCAGCACTTGGGAGGCTGAGGCAGGAAGATTGTTGTGAGTTCAAGGCCAGCCTGGGCTACAAAATGAGTTTAAGTCCAGCTTGAACTGCATAGTGAGACCCTGTTTCAAAAAGACAAAAACAAAACATATATATATATATATATTTTGAGACGGGGTCTCACTATAGTCCAGCCCTACTTTGAACTCACTAGGTAGCCTACGGTAGCCTCAAAATTTGTGATCTTCCTGCCTCAGTTTCCTGAGTGCTGGAATTACTGGCAGGTGCCACAACCGGTTTGAGTGCTGTTTTCTTTTTTTGTGTTCGTGGTGCTGGGAATCAAGCTCAGGGCCTTGCAGATGCTAGGCAAGTGTTCTACACTGAACGACATCCCTAGCCATATATTTTTGTTTTTTAGAGACAGAGTCTTGCTACATAGTCTAGGCTGGCCTTAAACTTTTTTCTTTTTGGACACAGGGTCTTGCTCTGTAGTCCAGGCTGGCCTTGAATTTGATTTTTTTTTTGTTTTTTTTCTCCGGTACTAGGAACCGAACTCACAACCTTGCGCTTGCCAGGCAGGCGCTTTTGCCGCTGAGCTAAATCCCCAGCCCCTGGCCTTGAATTTGAGTTGATCCTCCTGAGTGCTGGGGTTACAGGCCTGCATACCACGCCCAGCCCAGCCATCATTTTTGAAATTCTGTACAGTTACTGTATTTGTTGCCAAAGCCTTCCCTTAACATCTCTTGGGCCTTTGTACATGCTATACTCACTCCCTGCAGTTCCCTTCCCCTTCTTCTTAGCTGTCAAATTCATCAACAGACAAGGTCTGTCTCAGTCTATCTCCTCCCTGATCCTTGCCCCCAGTACCTGTTTTTTTTTTTTTTTCTTTTTGAGACAGGGTCTTGTTATGCAGTCCAGGGTGGACTTGAGCTCACTTTGTAGCCCAGGCTGGCCTCGAACTTGTAATGATCCTCCTGCCTCAGCCTCCTGAGTGCTGGGATTACAGGTATGCACCATCACACCCAGCTTCCCAATGCCTGTTGAAACAGTTCTTATCCTGTTCTTCCCACAGCCTCCCCCCACTCCAATTCAGATGTTTCTCAGCTTGAATTTTCAACCAGAAATCGTGCTGGGATTTAGTATTTATTAGTGCCGACTGTGTGCTGTACCTTGGCCTTAGAGACAGTGATTATCTCATTACCCACAAAACAGCCCAGAAGCAGATGTTATCCCCATTTTACAGTTGAGGAAACTAAGGCTTAATGATGTGACGTGCACAGGCACACGGGTAATAACCTAGATAAGACTGCTCTGTGGTGGTGGGATACCGTCTACCTGCTAAAAGTTTTACCTGGATGTTCCGAGCACGTCAGACTAGCCCTGCCCTAACTGAGGAATCCCTCCTGTCCTGTTCTGAGTCTCAGTGATACTTTGTTGAAGGTGGGACCCAAGCCAGGAACCCTGGCACTCACTGTCCACTTGTTATGACTCACTCGCCTTGCCACTTTTTATCTCTGTGCCATCTCACCCCTCCCGGCTGTGTGCCCACTCAGCATTGCCGCCACGCCCGGTTTGAAAGGTGCTCTCCTGCACCTCACTGCATTCAACTGCGCTGCACGAATGGGAACAAGAATCAGTTTCTAGTTATTTCCGGTTCTAGGTGCCAAGAACCAGAAGCCAGAGCCTCTCTCCAGCTTGTGGCTATTTTGCTGCTTGTTTTTCTTCCTACTACACCTATGTCCGCCATCAACCTAGATGGACTCCTTCCTCTTTTAGTAACCCTGTTAGTAAAAGTTTTACTCTCTCCTAGTGATTAATTCCAGAAGACAGTGATTGGTTGTAAGTCCCTGTGACTGACACAAGATAGGCTAGGGGACCGAACACTATGATCAGGGACCATTTGCAAGGCTCCCCAGTGGCAGACAAAAAAAAAAAATCCACCTCAGCATTTATATAAAACCAGTTTAGCTGGATGTGGTGGCGCACGCCTGTAATCCCAGGATTTGGGAAGCTGAGGCAGGAGCATCACTGAGAATTTGAGGCCAGCCTGGGCTACACAGTGAGTTCAAAGCCAGCCTGAATTACATGGTGAGACCTTGTCTAAAAAAACTAAAAAACAAAACAATTTAGCACCAGGTTCTGAGCTCTGCTTTTCTCAGGCATCCTCTCACCTGGTGATTTTCAAACTTGAGAGAACATCAGGGAGCACACTGGGGCCCAGGAGCTGCCCTTTTCTAACATGGTCCAGGTGATGGTTCTGCCGCAGGAAGGCCCACACCATTTTTTGGACAGGGTAAATCAGGAGTGCTGGGATTACAGGCCTGTGCCGCCACACCTGGCCTCACACCGTGTTTCTTAACTAGACCACAGCAGTAACACGTCATCGAGGAGCTGATGAGAAAGGCAAACCTGCCTTTTTCTTTTTTGCAGTGATTGGAATTGAACCCAGGGCCTTCATCCTGAGCTACACCCTCAATCCTTTCTTATATTTTATTTTGTGACAGGGTCTTAGTCACTAAGTTGCCCACGCTGGGTTGGAACTTAATGATCCTCCCTCTTTAGCCTCCCAGGACTGGGATGACAAGCATTCACCTCTACACCTGGCTAAACCTGCCTTTCTTTCAACAGTAGACTGAGTACAAGATCTTTGTCCAGAGAGAAAGAGGATTAAAAGGGTAATTTTAGACATGAGGACACCCAAGTTCCAATCCCAGGCTTAACAACTACTACTATTATCTTTGGTACTGGAATTGAACTCAGGACCTTGCGCTTACCAGGCAGGTGCTGTGCCACTGAGCTATCTCCCCAGCCCTACAGTTATTTGTATATGTGGCTGCCTGATGGGGGCACAGGGCAAAGGACAGACACCTGGGCTAGCCGGAGTAAAGGGGGCGCTGAGGATGAGCCTTCCTCATAGGTCTTCCTGCCCTTCCTCGCTCTTTCCCAGGCCTGCACGACCAGCTGCTGGCAGAGCTGACCCAGTTGGCGGCCAAGGCAGAGACCCAGGCAGAGGTGCAGTGCACTTGGATGCTGTTTTTGCCCACCCTGGAGATCTTCCTCCATGCAGGACCTGGGCCGGGCCCATTGCCTCAGCCAGCTCTTCCGAGTGCCTGCTGCTGCGGGATCCCAGGGGCTCTGCACAGGAGTGTCCTCGCAGGGGCTCAAAGGCTGGAGCCTGTGGCAGGCCAGCACAAAAGCGGCCCAGGGGGTGGGAGAACTGGGCCTGTGGGTGCAGCGGCTGGCAGAGCTGCAGTTAGAGATGGAACAGGAAGTGAATGTGCCCCCTTGGAGTGTGGAGCCATCCCTGGGGGACCTGGGGTCAGAAGCAAGTCTGGAGCTCAGTCCTGAGGGTTCTGACAGGGGCGGGGCTTTCTCTGGTGGTCTCCCCATATTCTGGGCCTGCTGTAGGGAAACCTGAATTCTTTCTCACAGCCTTAATATCTGTCACAAAGTGGGTGGCTGGCCCTGCACTCCCCCCAGGTACTCTTTACTCTAAGGTCTGGTTCCGTCTCATCTATAACACAGCTGGGGCTGCTCCAGCATTCACTAAAATTCCTGGCGCATGTAGAAAGAAGCTTTGTAGCGCTGCTGCTGCTGTTGCTGCTGCTGCGGTTTGAACCCAGGGCTCGAATGTGAAGCATGCACTCTACCACAGCGCCACACCCCGCCAAAGGGGACCCGTTGCATAGACAATGAGAAAATAACTGAGGTCACAAAGGACCAGATCCTGGTTACACCACTGCTTGGCCCCACAGCCTGTCAATCAACTGCTTTCACCACTACAGACAACAGGCAAGAGCCCAGATGTCAGGCCGGACCCCTACTGCCAACCCAAGCCAGAAACGTGCGCTAAAACAACCAAAATGTGTTTATTTAATAATATACATTGCAAAGGCTCAGCGAGAGACTTAATTTAAAAATTTAAAAAACAAACAAAAACAAAAACAACACCACAGCTCAAGATACAGTGTCTTACACAGAAATCAAGAAAAGGACAGACTAAAGAGGAAATGAAGAAGACACGAGGAAAGGATGGTCAGCTGAGGTCAGGGCTCTTGGCTAGCTACTTGCTTTGAGTAGGTTTCTTGCAGGTACTTCTTAAAGGCTGGAAGAGAACAGGCAGGTGGTGGGTGAATGACAGGAGTCAGGAGTCAGGAAGGTGGACAAGAGGAGGACAGCTTTCGGGAGGGGAAGGACTGCCTCCCAGCCCCGCCTGTGCGCCCCGCCTGCCGGGGCTCCTGCCAGCTTGCTGACTGGAGCGGGCACAGGTGATGCAGTCTACCAGGAGCCCCCTCAACCTATGTGTGAATATGAGGGGGTTCACCGTTTACAGCACGCAAGAGCCCCAAAGCAGAGGCAGAATGGGCTGGCCCCCTCTTCCCTCAGCTCAACCCAGTCCCACGTCGCCAGGACCCTCTTGGGTGACGGTGCCTCTGAAGGCGGCAAGGACCCTGTGCTGAGAAGGACCCACCTGTGGGATTTTTCCAGAGCTCCGCAGCATGTGTGTTCAGAGGACTATCAATGTTAGGTTCTGTGGGTGGAGAGACAAATGGTCAGCAGGTAGGAGAGGCTGGCCCAGGGGAGTCCCCACAGTCCCCAGGTTGTGGGGAGGCGTGTTCTCGGAAGTCACCTCCTAGCAGGCTCTGGATGGACAGTAGGATGGTCCTGACGTCGTACAAGGCAGACCACTTGTCCTTGAGGATGTCTAGGCAGATGTTACCCTGGGTGTCCACATTGGGGTGGTAGCAGGGAGTGAGGAACTTCACTGTGGGCGCGTTGTAAGGGTAGCCACTGGGAAACTCCAGGGAGAGCTTATACCTCAGGTCTTCATATACCTGGCATTTGGAGAGAGGAAGGAACTAAGTTTCCCCATGTGAGGCTCATATCACGACCCAAGCCCCAAGTGAGGGGCTTGCTAGGTAGGATATTTTTTGAGTTTTTATATGGGGAAGGACAGTGGGCAAATTGTTAAGCTGATTCTGGTGCTTTCCTCTTATTTGATGGGGACATCCATGGCCCTTTAAGGCTTGTAAATTGGTATCTTGAGGGCTACCACAGCTGTGCTTTAGTCCCACTAGTTTGTTTGTTTATTTTTTGACCCAGGGCAGTTCAGGCTGGCCTGAACTTGCAGTGATCCTCCTGCCTCAGCCTCCCGAGTGCCGGGATTAAGGCATGTGCCAAGCCTGGCCTAACTAGTATTTTATTTGCTAACATGAAAAAAATTAGATTTGACACAAATCTAGATTATTTTCGAGAGGGTCTCGCTATGTAGTTCAGGTTGGCCTTGGACTCACTGTGTCCAGGCTGACCTCGAACTCATGGTGATCCTCCTGCCTCAGCCTCCTAAGTGCTGGGATTACAAGCCTGCATCACCGTTGCTAGCCAGATCTGGATTTCTGATTTACTTTAAACCAGATCTGTAACAATGGGTCCTCCCAATGGCCACTACAATGTGGTCTGGCCCCTTAGATTAGGCTTATTTTGCCAGGTAATCTTTTTTTTTTTTTAAATTGGTGCTGGGAATCGAACTCGGGACCTCACGCTTGCCAGGCAGGCACTTGTGCTGCTGAGCTATATCCCTGGCAGTTTGGCCAGGTAATAGGGATTGATTTTCAGTTTGAGACAATTATCTTGCAACGTAGTCCAGGATTGCCTTGAACTCCCTACAGAACCCAGGTTGGCCTTGAACTTGTAGCAGTCCTCCTGCCTCAGCCTCCCCAGTGCTAGGATTATAGGTACGTACCACCACAAGTGGTTGCTGGGTACTAGGGATTGAAACTAGGGCTTTGGTAATGAGGCACCCCTCCCCTTGACTTCTGAGATAAGGTCTTTTTTTTGTTTGTTTGTTTTTTTTCTGGTACCAGGAATCGAACTCACGACCTTGTGCTTGCCAGGCAGGTGCTGTACCACTGAGCTAAATCCCCAGCCCCATGAAACAAGGTCTTGCCAAGTTGTCCAGGCTGGGATTGAACAGCCTGATCCTCTTGCCTCAACCTCCCAGAGTGCTGGGATTACAAGCAATGTGATTGGCTAGACATGGTCTTAAACCCTTTTGTCACACAGGAGAGAACAAGACCACAAGGCTTAAGAGCATGTGAACAGGCACAGGGGGATGATCTTGGGCAGCTAATTGGCTGAAGCAGCACTGGTACCTGGATCCTACCGCCCACCTCCTTGACCCTATACTTACCGTGCCAGCCGCTCCATGGATGGTCCCTACCCATTTGAAAAGGTTGTCTGACTCAGGGAAGGCAGAAATTCCTTTGTCACCAGACATCTGGGGAGGAAACAATAAGTGCTGGATGGCAGAGTACATTTTAAGGGGTGGTAAAGGGTCAGTGGGTGAGGCCCTGCCTCTGATTTCTTCATACTTTTATCCAGCGAGCAAGCAGACCCAACTGACAGATTCATCACCAGGCTAAGGAAGGAGGGGGTTGTACAGAAAAGCAGAAGGCAGCTGTGCATCCCCAATCTTCCTGCCAGGAATTAAAATATTCAATTCTTGAACTAGCTTGAGGCTGGGAAGTAAGCACCAGCAGGACGGGGAAGGCCTCGTGTAACTTCAAGGAACTGTTTTAGATAACTTCACTATGGGGAATAGAACTGGGATAGAGGCCGCTTTAAGAAAAGGTGTGGGTGAGAGTAGGAGAATCTCAGGAGACAGTAATGATACTGACCTCTGTCTATCTAACAAGGAGCTTATGTAGGAAAGGAGGCTACTGATAACTGGGTGGGAGGGTGGACCAGCTGGCCGGGGCTCTGACTGAGAGCACTTAGTCACTCACCATGAGGGTCATCAGCTCCTGCTGTAGCCTGCAAACAGAATTCAGGGTTACCTGGGCATCTGGAAGGCTGGGAGCTCTCCAGCTGGTGGATCCCTTCCCACTTGACTCTCTCTTGAGCTGTCAGGGAGGCTTCCCCCTTCCTCCAGGTCAGACTAGCGTAGGGGGAAGCTCATGCTCATCTCCTCCCTAATTCCTGACTCCTGTCCTATGATTCTGGCAGTTCTTAACTCTCTCAACACTCCTCGCCGTCTTCTGGGAGGATCCTGACAGCAGTCTTCCTTTAGGAGTCTCAAACAGTAGCCTGAGCTTCTCGCCCCCCACCCCCGCCCGCCCCATCTCCCAAATTTCGCCAGCTCCAAGAGGAGAGGGTCCCAGAAGTCTTCGCCGTGGGTCCCCAGGCTCAGGGATGCCAGGCCCAGCCAGTGTTAGCTCCGTACCACTTACCTCTTGCCCACAGGGCCCCGGGCGGCGCCACCGCTGGGCTCGGCTCCTTTACGGGCGGCAGGAACGCTGGCGGCGGCGGGGTCGCGGTTTTGGGAGGCCATGAGGACGGTGCTGGCAGAGAAATAGGAACCCGGTGACCAGCACTGCAACTGCAGGGCAGAGAGCCGCCCGCCTGCGTTTGAATTGCAACCCTCCGACAGCGTCGACCAATCAGTGGCTCGCTTGGGTTTGATCCAGCCAATGAGGCGCGCCGCAGCACTATGTCACCGCGCAACTGCTAGCCCCACCCATCACTACACCACTATTGGGCGATTGGGGGAGGGGGTTTGCTTCTAACAGCCGATTGGCAGAAGAGGCTGCCACTATCTAAGGAGTCTGTAGCCGATTGGCGGCCTTTGGAAAACGCCGACCATTAAAGGGCCAAGAAACGTCCACGTGGAATAAATACCTTAAAGTCAACCGCCTGTGCTGTCCGCGAAACGCCAGGTACGCCTGGTCTTGACCTTTTCTTCCAGGAATAGGGATTCCCTCCAACCTTCCCACCCCGATAGCCTTACCCCAAACCCAAGTCCTTGCCCTTCCCCCCGTATTACAATAGCCCCGGCACCCTTGGGCTCCCCAGTGTCTGGAAATCCGGGGGTGTGGGGTGTATGTGTGAGGCACAAGCGAAAGGACGCCAGAGTAGCAGCCTCCCTACTAGAAAATGTAGGTTCAGCCGGGGGCGTGGTGGCGCACGCCTTTAATCTCAGCACCCGGGAGGCTGAGGCAGGAGGATCGTTTGGAGTTTGAGGCCAGCCTGGGCTACAAAGTGAGCTCGAGGTCAGCCTGAACTGCATGGCGAGACTTGTGTCTCAAAAAAAGAAAAAAAAAAAAAAAAAAAAAAAAAAGAAGTAGGTTCAGATTATGCCTCCTCTCTGACTGGCTTGCTGTGTGATACTGAGCAGGTCGATATTTTAACTTATAAAAAAAGCCAACTTCGTATTTTTTACATGGTTTCTTACCAAAACTTCCATGGGACTAGCCATCATTCTGCCAGTTCTTGGAAACAGGGACAGAGAAGATTGGCAAGCGGGTCATGGCGATGTACACCTGTAATCCCAGTACTTGGGAGGCTGAGGCAGGAGGACTGCCATGAGTTCAAGGCCAGCCTGAACTACATAGGTAACCCTGTCTCAAAAAAACCGAAACACAAATCAAAAAACAAAAGGTTGGCAAGGTGCCTAATGTTAGCCGCTAGGTCTCCTAAAGCCTGGGTCTGAGACAGGGAAGGGGTATCTGATGCTATTTTTCTACACTGGTTTCTAGAGCCCTTGACATCCCCCCCCCCTGCCCTGCCCCGCCCGCAGACGGCACAGCAGGCTCACCACCTGTGTTCATTACAAACAATTTAATTGCTTCTAATCCCAGTAACTTTAAAAATACAGACCCACAGACCAGTCTGGGGTGCTCTGCAGTGAGTCCCTACAGACCAGCCCATGCAAATTTAATTCCGCAGCAATCTGCCTGGCGCAGTCCCGGGGTGGCCTCTGGACGTGGGGAAGCAGGCCTCGGAGGCAGGCTGTCCACTGTAGCCCAGACAGCCGCCTCAGGTCTGCACAGGCGGCTCCGCAGCGTGATGGTCATTCTCCGTCCTTAGTGTCTCCATGTACTTGCGCATCTTCTCAACCATCCAGGAGGGCAGGACAAAGGACTTCAGCTCGTCTAACTTCAGGTCCAGGCACCCTCTAGAGTAGATATTGAGAGGAAGTTAAAGCAAGGCAGAATATAGGCCCAGCCTCACCCCAGGGGCTACTCTGAGGTCAGGAGACGCAATGGTTTACCTGTAGTCGTCACTGGCAGCAAGGTCCCGGATGTCCTCCTCGATGAGGAGGTAGGCCTGGGCAAGGAACAGGGAGAATGGTGACTGCCTGGTTCATTCACTCTAATTCAATAATCCTTTGTTAAGTATCTACTTTTTTTTTTTTTTTTTTCAGTATCTGCTTAATGTAAGGCCTGCTACTAGGTGGAGGAAAGGGGGGTGTAGTTTGCAATTTAGTAGGTGAAAGTGGGAAGAGACTGAGAAATGGTCCCTTGAGAAACTCTTTCACTCAACAGAAATTTTATGGGTGGGAGAAGAGGGACTTGTCACTTTTTTGAGACTGGGGTCTAACCATGTTGCCCGGGCTGGCCCTGAATTCTCGGGTTCAAGTGATCCTTATGTCTTAGTCTTTGGAGTAGCTGGGGCTACAGGCATGCTGTGCTGACTGCTTTATGCCCTCTCCTCTTTTAAAAAAGTGATGGACAGCCGGGTGTGGTGGCACATGCCTGTAATCATAGCACTTAGGAGGCTGAGGCAGGATGACTGTTGTGAGTTTGAGGCCAATGCGCACTGCATAGCCAGACTCTGTCTCCAAAAAAAAAAAAAGACGGAAGAGGTTTATAATAAGATATTAAGGTAATAAAACAGTATGTAAGCTTTATAATAAAACAATTAAGCTAGCAAAATATACACAGAAAGAGTAAATCAGGAAGAGGAAGCTATATGCTAAGTGGAGACTAAGAAAATTTAGTCTTCAGCCTTCCAGCAAAAGGGGCATGATAATAAACATAACTGGTCCAGTAACTGGGCTGCGACGTGTGCCCTGGGCCTGTACAGCTGTTCTGACCAGATGCGTGTCCGCAACGGTGAGGCTTTTCGGAATTTCCCATGTAGGGGATGTGCTTCATATTAGAAAGCCTTCTCTAAGAGCCTTTCTAGCCTTAGGGCCGGCAATAGTTGTATATTTTGAGTACTTTTTTCGTCTTATGGGTACTCAGAACTACGTAACAGATCAGGTATCCTGGAGAAGGGCGCAGACTTTAATTTGCAAACACTTAAAGAAGGTCTCCCAGGTCACCACGGAAAGAAAACTCAACTTTTTCCTAACTCTTTTTTCTACTCTTACTAGTGGCTTAACTTTTACGTTCTGCTCCCTCTGCCCATCTACTTACTACTGATGTTCTACTGCATTTCATGTTGTTTTTGGTAAGTTCCCTGGAATATTTTTCTGAAATGAAGTGTGGGTATGGAGTAGTAAATAAAATGAAACGTAGTTTTTTTTCTTTTTGGAGACAAGATCTCCCTATGCAGCCTAGGCTGGCCTCAAACTCATGACAATCCTCCCGTCTTAGCCTCCCAAGTGCTGGGCTTATAGGTATGCGCCACCATGCTCAGCTCTGAAAGGCAGTTTTCACTGCCAGAAAGGAAATGGTATACCGGTTTGCAAGGCAATTAGATTAGTTTTAGAAGCAATCTCCACAGTGGGACGGAGTCCTCAGATGGAGGAGACCGCATGTGATGGGAAAAGCCCTCCATGATGGTTTTAGTACACATACAACAATGATTTTCCTAATGCTGGTGCTTGATATGAGCTGAGAACTCCTGAAGTGGAGGGGTGTCTAGAAGGGGCTGTTAGGTATGGCAAACATTTCACTGCAGGTGCTAACTCCTGGTGACAAGGGGGTTTTGCCTGGAGAACTATGTTGAGAAAAGATTTTATAGCTGTGTGTAGAGAAAAAGTGTTCTGATCAAGGAGTAAAATCTGTCCATGGGCACATGAAAGAAAATCTTGCAACCACCTTTCCTATGCACAGATATGTGGTCTTGGAGAAATGGATCGAGAATGGGTGTGGTGGTGGTGGTGCAGGAAGCCCTGGTGATAGGGATCAGGGACTACAGTCTGCCCTTTAGCAGGGAGCAGGGATTAGAAGGAATGGGCTGGGTCTCCCTTTCCACATTTGTTGCGCTGAGGAAGTCTCTGGATTTGGAGGTAAGTGGTCACCAATGGCCATGGGCTGGGCGGGTCTTCGGCAAGGGTGCTGGAACGCGATGCTTACCATCTTCCCGCCTGTTGCCCGCATGTGGTGATTCTCGGCCAGCCAGTGCTTGTCCTGGGGGTCAGCTGCATACTGTGAGGGACGAAGGCACACAGTGGGAAATTAACCTAGTGTGAGGGCCATTCTCTTGCCCCTTGAGCATTCTTACCAATAAAACCTCATCCTAGCCTGGTAGATGCAGAGGACGTACCAGCTCAGAGCACCGGGGCCAAACCTAGGAGCTCAGAGACTGCGACCCACTTCCCAGAGATTTAGCGTATTTCTAACCCCTTCCACATCCTTCCCCAACGCAGCACCTCTGGCAACTAGTGGGACAGGTGGCTATTATTTTAGAGTATCCTCTTTTAATTAACTAATTAATTTTTTGAGACAGGGTCTTACTATACAGTTCAGGCTGGCTTTGAACTGACTGTGTAGCCCAGGCTGGCCTCAAACTCAAGGGCTCCTCCTGCCTCAAGCCCCCCAAGTGCTGGCATTACAGGCATGCGCCACCACGCCAGGAAAGAACCTCATCTTTTAAAACATGATATGAGATAGCTCATAACACCTATAATTATTATGGTGAACGTATCTTCTAAAGTAAAAATCTGGACGCCTCCTTTTCTGGGGCAGACAGAATAGTATCATGTTTAAGACCTGGTTTTATAGTTAGACAAGAAAGTTTTTTTTTTTTTCCTTTGAGACAGGGTCTCGCTATGTAGTTTAAGCTGGCTTTGAGCTCACTACGTAGCCTAGGCTGGCCTGAAACTCCCAGTAATCCTACTGCCTCAGCCTCTGGAGTGCTGGCATTACAGGTGTGCAGCACCACGTCTGGTGCGGCAATTTGAATTCTAGGGCTCATTATTCACCACTGTTTTCATTGTGCTGATTTTGGTGATCAAATCTCAGCTCTCTTCATACTGCCCTCTTTAAAAAAAATTATTTGTGTGCACAAACAGGTCACCTTTTTGAGGACTGCATTTTCAGGTTTGTGATAAAGAAGGTCAGGGAAGGATATTTTTCTGCAGTTCAGATCTCTGAAAAATTTCCAGCTACCACTGGGCTGCGGAAAAATAATCTTTAACTTGAAGCTCGTTTTAAAATCTGAGGGTCTAGAACAAAAGAATAGGGTATTAGCTTTGGAGTCAAGGTTACAGATGTGAGCCTCTTGTGGTGCACACTTGTAATCCCAGCATTAGGGAAGCTGAGCAGGAGGATCACCACAAGTTCAAGGCCAGGCTAAACTGCATAGCAAAGACCGTGTTTCAAAAAAAAAAAAAAATAAAAGATGACAGATGTGGTGAGAGTAGTGACCAAACTTCAAAGATGGCAAGATGGCTTCACTAAAGGGAAAGTATTTTAAGATTAAAAAAAACCAAAACTCTTTGTCAGAAGAGCCCAGAAAGGTTCTAACTTTCATTAGCAATAAATATTTATGTTATTGATGCAGAAATGTACACAAAATAATTTCTATAGTTAAAAAGTTAAATTGGGCTTGGTGGCACATACCTATAATCTTAGCACTCTGGGAGGCTGAGGCAGGAGGATCACAAATTCTAGCCCAGCCTGGGCAACTTAGTGAGACCTTATCTCGTGGGTGGGGAGGGGGGGAAGAGAGAGAAAGAAAGAAAAGAAGGCAATTTATAGAACAAACATAGGTTCTAAATGACTGAAAAGATGCTTATAATCATTAATACAGAACCATAAAGTAAAACAACAAAACTTTTCCCTCCACTTATTTTTTTTTTTTCCTGGTACCAGGAATCGAACTCACAACCTTGCGCTTGCCAGGCAGGCGCTGTGCCGCTGAGCTAAATCCCCAGCCCCTCCCTCCACATACAGACTGCAAAGATTAACATGAGAGCTAATCCCCATAGGTAAGAGAGAGCATATGGGCATTCACTGAGTCCCCACTATGTGCCAGCCATCGTGCTGGGTGCTTTACCGCACTCTTACTTTCTGAGACAGGGTCTTGCTATGCAGTCCAGTTTGGCTATGAACTCACTGTGCAGTCCAGCTAGCTCAGACTTGCAGCGATCCTCCTGCCTCAGCCCCCTGAGTACTGGTATTAAGGGCTTGCACCACCATGCCCAGCCCCTATTGCATTCTTTCTTAGTTGACCCCACGGGATTTATCTGTCATCATTTTCATTTCATATGTGACAAAACAGATTCAGAAATATGGAGCTACTGTTCAAGGTCACACAGCTCAGCTAGTAAGGAGTGGAACCGGGGCCAAGATTATACTTTTTTTTTTGGTGCAGAAGATTGAATCTAGGGGTGTTCTACCACTGAGTTACACTCTCAGCCCTTTTAATTTATTTTTATTTTTAGACAGGGTCTTATTCATGTACAGGTACCAATTCCCCATGAAAAATGTGATCATTATGTACATCTAGAATGTACCAATAAACTTGATTAATTAAAAACTTCAGGCTTTAGAGAGGAGACCTGAATTTTAACTCTGACTCACTAGCTGACTGACTTCAGATAAGACTTAGCCTCTCCCCTGCCCCTAGCTTTTTAAAAACAACTTCTTTCAAAATAAGGATAGTAATACCTATCTTTTCTTTTTTCCTTGAGTCAGAGTTCCACTATGTTGCCTACGTTGGCCTAGGCTCGCTCATGATCATGGGCTCATGTGATCCTCCTGCCTCAGGCTCCTGAGTAGTTGAGACTATAGGTGTATATCACATGTCCAGTCAATAATATTTATTTTAAAGGATAGTTCCATGAGATCATCTAACTATAGCTCTGAAAACTGTGCCTGGCATACAATGACCATTCAAGGAAAGTGGCCACTATTACTGAGTCACAGAAACGTTGAGAAAATCATAAAAGGTAAGAGGTTGGGCAGGGTGCTGCACACCTGTAATCCCAGCACTTGGGAAGTTGAGGCAGGAGGATCACTGTGAGTTCGAGGCCAGTCTGGGATACATAGCGAGACCCTATCTCAAGCACTGCCCCCAAAAAGGTGAGTCAGAGAGTGGTAACTAAAACCCAGGTGTTCTGACTCCCAGATCAATGCAGTGTGCAGCTGTTAATGCCCCTGGTCCCAAGGCAATGGCCTGCGTACTTCCCAGCTCTCACCTACCTTGAAGAGGTGTGGGTGCTTGATGTAGATTCTCCCTCTAGTGCCTCCCATGCCTAGGGCCCTGAGGTTAAAAGACAAATGGTAAGGATTCCAGCAGGTGCAGCCCGTAAGAATGGACCCCTGAGACCTATCCCCTCCAACAGCATCCAAGTTTTTAGACTCACTTGTTGGCTCGAGATCCCAAAACAAAGGTGGTAGATTCATTCAGCCGGGCTGGATCCCACTGTGCAAAAAACAAAAATAAAAAACCAGAGAGACTGGTGAGGGTGAGAGTCTGATGTGGTAACAAGACAGAAGTACTCTTCCTTTGTTCTGTTTTCATCCTTATCCATTGTTTTTTTTTGAGATAGGGTCTCGCTATGTAGTTCAGGCTGGCCTTGAACTTGCAATGATCCTCCTGCCTCAGCCTCCTGAGTGCTGGGATTAGATGTGTGCCACCATGCCTGGCTTTTATTCATTATTCAACGAAATGTATACTCAAGAAATAAGAGTCAAATAGGAAAGAACAGCTGGGATGAGGGAAAAGATAAAAAAAGAAAGAAGGGAAAAAATAGGTATATTTATATACACAAGATAGCTAAGATAATTGTACCACTAATTTCTACTGGTGTATTAAAGGAATAGTTAGTGTGTAATTGATCAATCTTACATGCCTATATCGGGTTATCTGAGTAACTACTTTGAAGATAATAATATGTGATATAACAACCATTGTTAATTTCCTATCACCTTGTTTTGAAATTCTGTATCATTTTTATTGTTTTTATGTTGTTTTGTTTATGCCTTTGTTTTTGTTATTTTGTTTCTATTTTCTTTAAAATTAAAAAAAAAAAGAAAAAAGTTGGACAATGACAGCAAAACAACAACAACAACAACAACAAAAAACAAACCCCAAAAAGAAATAAATTGCTTATATGCTAGGGCTCTTGCTAGAGGCTGGGGATAAAGAAATGACTAAGATACAGTCTCTGTTCTTTAGGAGTCCCAGGCATATACACCCAGACAACTAGCTCATTATGGGACAAGGCAATGATAGGGATGGGTGCAGGATGTGGGCGGTACAAAGGGGATGGAACAGCCAGGAAGTCTTCCTGGAAGAGATAATCCCAAATTAATCCTGAAAGGGTGAGCTCGAGTTAGGATAGAGGGGAGAAGAAGGACACTCCAGGCAGAGGGCATGCCCAAAGACAGGCGAGAGCTGGCTCGGCACGAAGAACAGCCTACAAGCAATTCTGTCCTGCGTGAGGAGAAAGTTCAAATAAGGGAGGAGCAACTGATGGAGCTGGAAAGAGAACCACAAAGCAGCAAGAGGCTTCATTTAGAAGTTCACATCTTCTTTATTCCATAGGCAGCAGGGAGCCGCTGAAGGCCTCTAAACAGGAAATGAGACTCTTATGTTCTTAAAGATAGCTCACTCTTCCAGCAAAGTGGGTAATGGATTTGAAGGGGCAAGACCATAGGCAGGAAGGGGCTGCTGTAACGAAGCAGAACTGAAGGAGGATAATGGCCTGCGCTGCAGTGCGGGGAGGAGGACGGGAGGGAAGAGGAACCGCAACATTCTCAGGAGGCAGAATCACTCACAACCTGACTAGAAGTCGGGAGGTGAGGGAAACTATAGGCAAAGATGATTACGGTACAGAATGTAGAAGAAGGTCTATGAGGGATGATTCTAATTTCAGTTTTAAATATGCTGCAATGGAAAAGTCCATGGAACTTCCTGGGAGAAAGGTTTACCAGATAGAATATCTACATTTCATTTTTTTGTCTTTTTTGAGACAGGGTCTTGCAATGCAGTTCAGGTTGGCCTTGAGCTCACTTTGTAGCCCAGGCTGGCCTCAAACTTGCAACGATCCTCCTGCCTCAGCCTCCTCAGTGCTGGGATTTACAGGTGTGCGCCACCATGCCCGGCCTAGAATATCCATTTTTTTTTTTTTTGGTCTTTTTGTCTTTTTGAGACAAGATCTTGCTATGTAGTTCAGGCTGACCTTGAGCTCACTTTATAGCCCAGGCTGGCCTCGAACATGCAATGATCCTCCTGCCTCAGCCTCCTGAGTGCTGGGATTACAGGTGTACGCCACTATGCCCGGCCATCCACATTTTAGAACGAAAAAAAGAGGTATAGGATGAATAAAGAGTGTGGGAAATTTTAGCATGTAGCTTAAGGCTATAAGCTTAAGGCTGGTTGATTTAAATTTTAGATTATCCAGAGAGAAAATTTAGGTGAACTGGGCCAAAGACAGAATGCTGGGGAACACCTATTCATATGGGTCACTGGTGAGGAAAAATTCACCAAGACAGAGAAAGGAGGTTTGGAGAGGGCAGACTGGAGAGAATGTAGGGTCATTGGCTCTAAGGGAGTGGATTCTCAGGAGAGGCATGGAGACCAGTGAAAGGAGAGAGCCAGAAAACAAGAGGTGGCCAACGTCTACCTGGACATAGCTCCAAAAAGGACAGGGCACTTACATGTACTTTACTGAATGTAAGTAAAGATGGCTCTCTGAAAAAGGGATCTGACTGGTAAGAGAGCTTGCGAACAACTGTTCTGCAGGCAAAGAGGCTAGTGGTGTCAGCAGATTTTGGGTCTGAGACTTAGCTCTTCCACGTACAGCTATGTGACTTTGGGCAGGTGTCAAATGTATTAAGTATATAAAATAACGAGATAAAATAATTTCTGCCTACAGGAGAGCTGGCAGGAAAGGAAGCTCAACTATAGGATGGTAGGAGAATCTACTTCGTAAGTTTGTTATGAAGGTTAAATGAGATAATCTGATCAAAAGATTTTGGGCCATGCATGTCACATAAGTAAGTGTTAGTGATCATTAGTGAAACAGAAAGGGGGGGCTGAGGTTTTGTAACAGGTCTCAGTCATCCCTTTGGCCTTTAATTCAAGCTCCTACATAGGATTCTCTCGGAGGCCAGAGTGGCTGCAGTGGGTGGAGGAGGAGGTGGAGCTCGCATGGCGTGAACATATCTGGTACCCACCCGTCCCTATCCTTCATGGCGGCCCCTGAGCTTTGGCTGAGTCTCCCTGCGAGACTGGTCACTACCACGCTCACAGTCCTACCTTGGGGCCTTCCCGGCGAATCGGTTCACAGGACTTTGGCTTCCATCTGCTTGGAGGGGAAGAAGAAGAGTGAATTTTCCAAGCTGAGGCCTAAGACTGGAAGAATTCTGCCTGGAGGTGCTGGTAGCTCTTCATACCTCTCTTTTTAGCTCTGGAGGCATGTCTTCCTGACAACCCATTAGAGGAGTTCAAAGGGAAAAAGCACTGGACCTGGGGCCACTCTACAATTGGCTCTGGTATGACCTGGGGCATCCTGGGGCAAGTCTAGGGACCTCTGCATGGCAGCTTTCTCATCTTCGAGTCTTACCCATCTTGTGTTCATGAGAAATGAAACTGCTTCAAGGCTGCGACGAATCTGAGGGACGACAGTACTCTCTCTCTTGACCAGGTTTCAAACTACCCCCACCCCACTTAGTAAGACTAGTGTGGCTGTATCTGCTTTTATATTTGCAGGACTGGGGATTGAATGCAGGGGCTCATGCACATCAGGCAAATGCCCTATCACTGGACTATACCCCCAGCCCTTTGAAATCTGAGACAGCCTCTTGCTAATGTGCTCAGCCTGGCCTCAAATTTGCAGTCCTCCTGCCTCAACTTTCATAGTAGCTGGGATTACAGGCATGCACCACCAGGTCTGGATTTATCTGCTTTATCTTTTTTTCTTTTGGTTTTTTTCTCCGGTACCGGGAACTGAACTCATGACCTTGCACTTGCCAGGTAGGCGCTTTGCCGCTGAGCTAAATCCCCAGCCCCTTTATCTGCTTTATCTAATGGGCTTCCACAGGAAGTTTTGCTTGGAGAAAAACAAGATTCTGTTGCTTCAAAACTTTTTAAACTACTGGGCGTGGTGGCGCATGCCTGTAATCCCAGCACTTGGGAGGCTGAGGCAGGAGGATCGTTGCAAGTTTGAGACCAGCCTGGGCTACAAAGTGAGCTCAAGGCCAGCCTGAACTGCATAGCAAGACCCTGCCTCAAAAAGATAAAAAAAAACAAAACCCAAAACCAAAAAACAAACCTCTTTAAACCTGGGGCAGGGAGAGGAGGTAGAAAGATGAACAGGTAGAGCACAGAGATTTTCAGCACAGTGAAAAAGCTCTGTCTGACACTGACAGTGGATTCGTGTCACTGTGCATTCGTTCAAACTCAACAGAATGCAAAGGGCCATGAGTGAACCCTAATGGGCTCCACGGACTCAGTGTGAGAACGATGTGTTACACAGACTCATCCACTGCGGCACAGGTACCCGCTGCTGTCCTCTGTGGATCACAGGGGAGGCTGTGTGGATGTGGGGGCAGGGAACATAGGGCTGATCTCTGTGTTCCCACTCGACTTCCTGTGAACCTAAACACACCCTTAAAAAAGTCTCGAGAACAAGCAGTTTTGAAAACGTCTGCACTGTAGGCCATATAGTATAACCTCACCTTCTATTAACGGTATGATCTTGGCAAGTAGTTCTCTAGTCTCTTTAACTGATAAAAGAATTATGCCTTCCTTAGAAGGTAGCTGTAAGGACTGAAAGATAAAGTCTGTATGGTATTTAGACCAGCTACAAGCTTTCAATATATACTAGCAAGGACACAGCTCCGGTCTTTAATCCGGCTAGATCGCACTGTTTTTGGGGAAGAACAGGACAGTGGCCTCCCTTCGTGACTCCCTGAGGGGTAACCCTCCTGCTTGGTGACTTAAGCACATGGATCTGATTCTGCCAGGCACGATCTGTCCTTTTCTCTCCAGGCCACTCCCCCCCTCGCCAACTTCGGCTCTTGTCACACTAGCGGCCCCTACTCACACCATGCCCGCAGCTGCTCGCTCACTTGACAGGATGTGTCCAGGAGGCCGTCCTTTCCTCTGTCACCAAGAATAGCTGTTAGAGAGCTGACCCCGTGGGACAGTGCCCCCACCCTCTACTGGGCAGGTCCAGGACACATAGTAGGGACTGTTTTCCAAAGATTCCAAACGATCCTTGATAGGGGCCAAGGAGAGTATAGGGCTCCAGCTTGTCATGCCGAAAAGGTTCAAAGATGCACGAGGAAGTCCAGCACCTGCTTCTAGAGCGGAGAGACCTTTTCCCAGCCAGGAAATGAAATGAGGAAATGGTTTACCTTTTTGGGAATGGGGCTTCCTCGATGGGCACATTCCTCTTCTGCCAGTCGGCCACGCTGGAAGAAGAGAGAAGCGAGTTAGTGGAAGGCAAGTGCCTAGAAGCTGCCAGTCCTTTGGGGCTGCATGAGGCAGAACCCTGGACTGTACCCTTTGGCTGCTGCCTAACCCAGGCCGAGGAGCCCACCTAGCATAGTGCTACTTGTACCTGGCCTGATGAGTGGGTGGTTTGTGAAACCTCCCGAGGCCGGTATTTTATCTGTTTTCCAGGCTGACTGTTCTCCCCCTTTAAGCCCTCAGGAGACAGTGACTCTGACCTTTATCCCTGGAAGCTCGTGGGCCAATCTGGGTATTACTTTTTCTCCATCCGAGAACAGCAGCTTAGCCTGAAAGGAAAAGACCAAGTGTAAACAGTCACTATTTGGAGGGGGTGTAAGCCTCCCTTGTCCCCATTTTTGTAGATGTGACTCCAAATTGAATTAAAACTTTTCCATAGTCAATACAAAGACATGAACACATGTATTTATTTTTAAAAAGTAGATATGGGGGTGCTGGGGACTTAGCTCAGCAGCACAGCGCCTGCCTGGCAAGCGCAAGGTCGTGAGTTCGACTCCTGGTACCAGAAGAAAAACAAACAACAACAACAAAAAAGTCCATATGGGGTGCCTCGATGTTCTTTTGTTTGCTGGTTATGCTGGAGAAAAAGGGAAGGGAATCAGTGGGAGCCTATTTTTTTTTTTTTTTAAAAGAAAAAGAACCTGACGAATTAGTGATCATTGCTAAAAGGTTAGCAAATGTAAGTTAAGATTTAAAAAAAAAAACAACAAACCTAAATCTCATTACTCACAGCAATCTATTAGTATTACCAATTCAATGTAAATTCTTCTTTACTTTTTCTTTTTTTTTTTTTTTTTGAGACAGTCTTGCTATGTAGTTCAGGTTGGCCTGGAACTCATGTCGATCTTCCTGCCTCAGCCTTCCTAGTGTTGGGATTACAGGCGTGTGCCACCATGCCTGGTTCTTTCTCAGTTTTTCCATGAAATATGTACTATAAAACTTTCTAACTGTATGTTATCGCCCTACATATTCCTCAGTAAATTGCTGTTTTTATTTAACAAGTATCAAGAAGCCAGGTGTGTTGGTGCATGCCTATAATACGAACACTCAAGAGGCTGAGGCAGGATGTTCATGATGAGTTTGAGGCCAGCCTGAATTACAGTGATACCCTGTCTCAAAAAACCAAAATAAATTTAAAAAAAAAAAAAAAAAAAAAAAAGACTGAGCACCTAGGACCTAAGTGCTAGGGGATGGGAGAGAAGACAAGCTTCTGCAGGGCTCCTGCTCTTGTGGGCAGTCTAGATAATCAACAAACACAGACGGTAATTTCGGCCTGTCTTACCCTTCCTCCCTCCCTCCCTCCTTTCCTTCTTTCTTTCCCCCTTCCCTCCCTCCCTTCCTGAGACGAGGTCTCACTAGGTAATTTAGGCCTGCACTGAACTCAGTGATCTTCCTGCCTCAGCCTCCAGAGTGCTGGGATTACAAGCGTGTGCCATCATGCTCGGCTAAATAAAGTAACTTTGGATCGTGAAGAAAGCAGTAAAGAAGAAAAACCCAGGTAGATGTGAGAGAAAATCATCAGAGGGAGGGCTCCTTGAGGGGTGGTCAGGCAAGGTCCTGCTGAGAAGGCAGCCTCTGAGGACAAGGGCTGGAGGGGAAGCTAAGCTGAGGCGGCAAGAGGAAGTACTACAAGTCCCAGGGAGGAAAGATGCTGCTCCTATGAGGAAGAAAAGGATGGCCTGGCCAGGAAAGGGCAAGGGGCAGAGCCGCAGGTGCGAACGAGACGTGAGGACACGGCCAGGTCCGGGGAGGTGCAGAGCTGGGTCTCACAGCCCCGGGCGGGGCTTCTGCCTGCGCCGAGTGCTCCCCTGTGGACACACTGCAGTTCCTGCCTTCCTCCCACTTCTCCGGCCCCTCTTTCTGGGCCTTGTTTGCAGGCTTATCCTCCTCAATCTGGCTCTCTCCACTCCATCCTCTCATTAATATTCTACCTTCTCTCATTGATGCTCACAGCTTTAATTAACATCTATAAACTCATGACTCCATTTTTTTTTTAATTTTAAATCTTCAGCTGTAGCTGAAAGGGTACCCTTTGGGCTCCAGACTTAGAAACAAATAATTGGCTCCATGCTGAGGCTCACATGTCTCAGATCTGCTAAGCTGGAAACTGGGCTCATGATCTTTTCCTCCCAATTTTATCCCTTTTCAGTGAACAGTGCACAAGCCTCCATGTGTACTGCAGAGCTAGCTCTGAGTGGTGACTCCGGTCACACCTGTCTGCCTAACCAGGCTGTAAGCTCTGTAAGAGCGGGAAGCCTGCTTCTTCATTTGTCATATGGTTGTTTGTTCACTCAGTCATTCACCAAATAGGTACTGTACACAGTACACAGTAACAGTTGAATCCGAAGGTTGGGAATACAGTGGTGAACAAGTTCAGTCTTCAACTCTTGTAAAACTCAAGATCTTAGCAGCGATGGGGTGGGTGTGGGAAGGAGGCAGAAGTGCAGTGACGGAGAGTAGCTGTTAGTGCAGGTCATGCCCACTGAACTTAACCTCATCAGCTCTCACTGGAACTTAACCATCTCCTAAATTCCTTTCCAAACCGATCTCCTCCAGCAGCCAGAGCCAATCTTTTTGAAATGCAAATCTCACGAGGCCACTCTTCTGGTTACAATCGCTCACCTGAGATTTGGATTGTAGTGCTGTTCAATCTGGCTCTGCCTACCTCTCCAGCCTTTCCAGTCCCTTCCCCCTCTGAAAACCAGCAGCACTGGCTTGTGTTCTTAGACACACTGCACTCCCTTCTGTCACCGGGATCTGCACCTAGTGTGCTCTCTCATTGCCTCCTATACCTAGAGTACTTAAAGCCATTTGTAGTTACAGGCATACTGTTTGATTACTTGAGTAATGTCAAGGGCTCTGAGGAGAAGCATATGCCCATTTTGCACAGCACTGTTGGGGTCTGCAGGGCACAGTAATGGGCACACAGTAGGCCTTAATGTAAAGCAGTTGAAGAGATAAATGAACTCAGGAAAGCACTCTGGGATTTAAGTCAAAGTTTTATTAAATTAATTTTGATTCAGCTCAAACTTCTAAAAGTATTATTAGCAAACTTCTACTTAATTTTTTTTTTTTTTTTTTTTTGGTTTTCTTGAGACAGGGTCTTGCTCTGTAGTTCAGAACAGTCTTGAACTATGTAGCCCAGGCTGGCTTTGAACTCACAGCAACCCTCCTGCCTCAGCCTCCCAAGTGCTCGGATTACTGGAGTGCACCACCACCCCTGCCTTCTATTTCATTATCAACAATTGTTGTAACTGATCATAATGCACTAAAGTCCTGAGTGGATTAATTCCTCTTAGAAATTCCGTTAATTTAAACTTAACAGCTTATGAGAACCAGACTGGTTTTCACTGCACTGACAGAATGGGGTTCTATCCTTCCAAAGCTGAGGTTCAGGCCCTGGTCTTGCGCCTATGTGAGGCTGTATCAGAACCGCTAGCCAGACAACCCGAAGACATTAATTATCGTGAGGCCTCTCTCGCCTCATGATAATTACTCTCATAGAACTGAGCTTAAATTAAGTTTTTGTGGCTCTGATTATGAAGAAATTCCCATTTTCGACAGTTAATGGCTTCATAGGCAAGAAAAGAATCTGGGTGATGTTGACAGTTCTTATTAATAACAGCTAACAAACAGGTTCTGTACTGTCTTGGGCACACAGTCACTTACAGACATGCTGTCATGCCTCTTGACCATACCCAGGAGGCAGGGAGCAGCAGAGGTGCGAGTCCCCATGACACACAAAAGGGGCTACACTATTAAAGGTGACCCACCGAACACCTGCATGGATGAGACACATCTGAGCTAGCTATTTCTTGTGTGCTTTAAGCCACAATTTCTGTTCCTCTTTTGGGCTGCCTGATTAATTTAATTTGTATTTTTTTTCCAGCTTTATTGAGGTACAACTGATAGAAATAGTATGCATGCAAAGTGTACAACATGATTTGATGCACACATCAACTGTGAAATAAAACAGCTGTCACCCATTACAATCATGTGTGTGTGTGTGTGTGCGCGCGCGTGTGTGTGTATACTTAAACTCTACTCTACCAGGTGAATCAAGTAACTCTACCAGGTGAATCAAGAAACCTAGAGGAAGTAAGTAACAAGTATTACTGACTATTAACTATAGTCACCATGCTGTACACTAGCTCCCGGGATGTATTTCTGACATGCACAGGTATTTATGACATAATGACAAGTGAGGAAGCAGGTTATAAAACTGAACATTTGGACTCAACTGACATTCTCCTACTGTGCTGGTAATCATCATTTTACTCTGTTTCTGAGTTTGCTAAGCATAATTTCTTCATTTGTAAAATAAGGATTAAAAAACACCTGTATAGGGTTTCCTCTGAGACGTACATGAAATAATACATTTATGATTGTACCTGGCACACAGTAGCTGTTTCTCTTTCCTTCTGAACCCTATCTGAAAATAGGTGGCTGATTCTGCAAAATACCCCTGAGGATAAGATCATGTTTTTTAGCAGAGTACCAACAGCCAAACCTCGTACCTCATCTCTTGGCCCTTTGGCCTCACCTGCTCTAGACAGCTCCGACAGGCCTCCTGGATCAGCTGCTCTGTGTCCACCTCTTCCCCTACATTGTCTCGAACGTTCATAGCCGCTTTCTGGAAGAACTAGGGACGCACAACGGAGGACAAGGTCAGAAGTCCAGCTGGTTTGCATCAGCCTGAAGGAAACTGAATAATGAAATAGAAGCTTCTAGCCTTCCTTAGAAGGGAAAAGTGATTATGAACAGGGCTTTGGGGTCAGACAGATTTAGATTCATAAACCAAGCTCTACCTTCCCTGTTTATCACCCCTTCTCCTCATTCCTGTTTCAAATCCAGGGCCTCCCACCTATCAGGGCAAGTGCTCTAGTGCTGAGCTACATCCTTAGCCCTTTTTTTCTTCTGAGACAGATCTTGCTAAATTACCCAGGCTGGGCTCATACTTCTGACCCTTCTGCCTTAACCTCCTTGAGTAGCTCTGGGATTATAGGTTTTGGACCACATCTGGCTTGAGGATGTATTTTTGACATGAAAAGGTATTGGTGATATAACAGCAAATGAAACAAGCAGGTTATAAAATAGGTTAGTACAGAATAAGCCTATTTATATAAAATAGCAAAAAGTAAGCATATAGAGGCAAAAGAACTATAAGGACATACAGTAAAGTAACAGTGGTGATTTTATGGATGACATTTTCTTGTCTTTGCTTATCTATAGCCTCCCAATTTTTTTAATGTACATTTGTATTTAAAAAAAAAAAAAAAAAAGAACACCTGTGTCTGAAGTGAATAGCCAGGGGAAGCCAGAAAAGATCAAGACTGTACAAAAGACCTCACTGGATTCCCCCTTCTCAATCCCCAATCTGCAGAATGGGAGAAGCAAGACCCAGCATGGGCCCCAGGATACCAGCAGCTCAACTGGCAAGGGCAGGGAAGGCACAAGGTTCTTCTATTGGGTGAGAAAGCTAGTGCCTGAAAATACTGGAAGAGGCGGAAAACACATTTGGGGGGTTCCTGGGAACATTTGTTGAAAGTCCCTAAATTAAAGTGTCAAACTTGTCTAGTGTATAAGAAAATTTGGGAAACCATAACAATGCTCCTACCGTGGGAGACAGGATGGGGACACACTTTCACTTTATATTTACAAAGGACAAGTGCCTCTGTCAGTATCAAACCAAGGAGAACAGTGTGAAAGGACTGGATTAGAGACCGCAATAGTTTAGGAGAAATTATTCAGAACAAATTAAATGGGTGGATGAGTCTGACTTTATTTATTTATGTGTTTATTTTGCAGTGCTGGGGTAAACCCCGGGCCTCATGCATGCTATGCAAGTGTTCCACCACTGAGCGATATCACTTTCCTGGATAAATTTGACTTTAAAAACAACTAAAAAACTGGAGAGGGCCGGCGATATACCTCAGTGGCACAGTACCTGCTTGGCAAGTGTGAGGTCCTGAGTTTGAGTCCCAGTACCAAACCAAACCAACCAACCAACCAATCCAAAAAAACTGGAGATAAAGCTGGGTAGCTGGTGCAGTACTATAATCCTAGCACTCTGGGAGGCTGAGGTAGGAAGATTATAAATTCTGGCTCAGCCCAGACAATTTAGACCCTGTCTCAAAATAAAAAAAGACTAGGGATGAAGCTCAGTGTGAAGGCCCTGGCTTAATTGCCAGTATCACAAACAAAAACCAAAACAAAACAACTAAAAACACTGGCCATAAATACTAGTGTTCAATATCAATTATCGGCTAAGTGAAAGTCAGTTAAAGTAACTCGGACACTTTTCAAGTAGCTTGTGGGAAGGAAGTGTAAAAAATATACTAGAGCCGGGTGTTGTGGTACATGCCTGTAATCCCAGCACTTTGGAGACTGAGGCAGGAGGATTGCTACTAGTTTGAGGCCAGCTTGAGAACAAAGTGAGTTCAAGGCCGGCCTATACTATAAAAATGAGTCCCTATCTCAAAAAAACAGAAAAAGCCAAGTGTCGTGCTACATTCCTGTAATCCTAGACTCAGGAGGTTGAGAGAGAAGAATCAAGCCAAGTTCAAGGCCAGATTGACACAGAAGAATCAAGCCAAGTTCAAGGCCACTTGCTATGTAGCAAGTGCAAGGCCAGACTGAAATACATAGTGAGACACCTGTCTCAAAGAAAAGAAAAGGTATGTGGAGTGAGGGTAGTAAGCATCTCTGGATCTGAGAATAAAATCAGATCATGAATGAGGGATTCTCAAATACTGCTGGGAGAAATGGAAACTCGCACAACTTTTCTGGAAAACAATTTTTTTTTTCCCTAATACTCACTGATTCCATCTCTAGGAATGCATTCTCCAGAAATCTCTCACAACTGAACAAACACATATATTACAATGTTTATTGTAATATTGTTTATAATAAGAGAAAAATTAGAAACAGTCTGAATTTTCTAGGGATTAGCTACTTAAATTTGGTACATCTACAAAAAGACTACTTTCCAACTATTAAAGCTACTATGTCAAAATACTAGTTGCAGAATAGTGTGTATAAAATAATAAAAAAAAAAAACATGGCAGAGCATGGTGGTGCATGTCTGTAATCCCAGTGCTCAGGAGGCTGGGGCAGGGATTGCCACAAGTCTGAGGCCAGCCTGGGCTACATAGTGAGTTCAAGGCCAGCCTGAACTGTATCACTATATATTTTGACCTCATCTCAAAAAAACCAAGGGGGTAAAAGAAAATCATAAACATATACATACACATGCAAATGAAGCCGAGAGACTATATAGTTATTGTTAGTCTATATTATTTTGGTATCTCTGGGAGGTGAGTTTTAGTAACTTTTGGCTTTTATTTAAAACAGTATCTGGTTGGGCATGGTGGTGCATGCCTATAATACAAGCACTTGGGAGGCTGAGGCAGGAGGATTATTGTGAATTCGAGGGCAGCCTGTGCTACAAAGTGAGTTCAAGGACAGCCTGATTGCATAGTGAAATCCTATCTCAAAAAAAAGAAAAGAAAAGAAAAGAAAAAAAACATAAAACAGTACTTGTATTTTTTTAGATGTTAACTTCTTTTGTGGTATGTGTGTTTTGTGGTACTGGGGATTGAACTCAGGGCCTCACACATGCCAGGCAAGTGCTCTACCACTGAGCTACATTCCTAGTCTTTTTATTTATTTTTAAATCCTGAAACAGGGTCTGGTTAATCTGGTCAGTTGATCCAGACTTCTTTTTTTTTTTTTTTTTTGGTTTTTCTCCGGTATCTGGAACC